TAGGATTGGCTTTCGCAATAGCATCCTGACCAGCAGTCTTATAATCAAAAGGACAATCATGTTTGTCGGAATAACGATGGCTTGCACAGAAGGTGTTTCCACATTTGCAATTGAACCCAGTTAAACCAACGCGCTTTCGGCAAGTAGTGCATTTGCTTGGTCCCTTTTTTTCTTTCACCTCAATTTTCATGCTTGAGGATGAGTCACTGGATGGTTCTGTTAAAACAATACTGGTCCCCACTTGAACAGCTTGCACATCGACAACACTTGCAACAACGGGGTCAATGACGATGTTGCTGCTGCCATCGACGCCATTCACAATACTGTCAATGGATGATGCAGCCAAATTAGCTTGGTCCTGCTTTAAGAGCGTGTCCTTGTAACACTAGGAACACATGTTCATTGTTGCAACCCTTCCAAAGAATCCACAGTTGTTAACACAAAGTATCGGGCGGTCTGGTGCTTGGCATCCAGTTTCATCATGAGATTCCATCTTTTCTATTTATCTGAACCAAGAAAAAAAAAAGCAACAAAAACTTGCCGTTTAAATATCATCAACTGCAGAAATACCAAACCAGCAAAATACATGCATAAAGAGAGACAAAATTCTATAACGATAGATAATCAAATTTGGAGATACCAAATAACCAAATGCCCAACATAATGAATACATATAAGCAATTTAGAAATGCCACACCACAAGTGCCAAACAACCAAAGAGGAAAACAGAACTCATAAGCACTTAAACACATTGAATCATGCAAGTTAGTTATGATTGGGGGCTATTTATCTCCTTCCGCCAAACATCTCAGATTTTCAACTCCGGCAAAACATCAATTATACAAATCGAATGCCCTGAGTTGAACAATCCAAGCCAACGTTTACAATTCAAACCACTTAACTCTAACAAATGCGAAAACCCACAAAAGTTCAAAATTTTCCCCATAACGCCAGGAACTTCAACAAAATCCGATAGAATTTAAACAAGCTCAGTTCTAACCTATACCAATACCCATAAAACTCCTACAAGTTCCTTTACACATGCCAAAATCTTCCATACTCCGATAAAACCCGAACAATTGCAGTCAGGCAACAAAAAAATCCAAACTTTCAACCGTAAATGTTTTCAATTACAGACGATTGAACCCCTACACACATAATTCACCAAAAAAACCGAAAAATTATACGGAACCCGCCACAAGCACAACAAATTGACCCATACAATCCAATCCGAGAATTCATAAATTTCAAAGACCAAAATCAAACTCTAACCTGTTTGTTTCGGTCGATCCAAGTCCCAAAATCGAACCAGGCAATTCCTGCTCCTCGTTCAAAATTTTCAAAAAGCAACACATTAATAACCAAATCAAAGAAAAACATGGAAATAAAAAATAAATAAAAAATAAAAACGCAGACAGATAGAAGGGAAGGGACCACGAGTTTCATACCCTGGTCGAGGAGATTATTGCTTTGAAATAATTATTGAAAAATGAAAATAAATAAATGGAGGGCGAAAAATATAATATAAATAAAAAATAAAAAATAAAAAAGAGGAAGAGATAATTGGTAGTGCTTGCTGGGTTTTAGGTTTGAGGCTTTTCTTGTGGGGTCTCTTTATTATAAACCTTTCCCCTTTGCCAACGACCGCTTTCCACTAAGTCGGTGGTAATGACGTAACCGCCTCTGGATGCCGACGTTCTTGCGGCGTTGCCATTGCAACGTTGTACGAGTCCGACTCGGGGAGTTGAATATTGGGCTGGGCTGTGGTGGTTGGACCCATAATTGCGTTAGGTTGGGACTCGACATATAATCGAACAATTATTTTGTGCAAACCAAACGTTGTATAATAATTCATCTAAATTACGAGGAGGTCAACTTGGTTGAACCAGTGTTTATTACGAGAACGTTGTTTAAGCGTTGTATAGTAGGTTGGAAAAGTGAGTATAATATTAACTAGCATTTCTGCATGCACCTTGTGTGTGTGAAGTATCTTTCTTACATCACGGCACGCTAAGTGCGGCATACATAATTTTTCCCCTTCCATATTTTGTGCATGCATAAAGACATCTTTAGTTAAAAAAAAAAACATTTCATACGTGTTATACATGCATTGGTTTTATATGTCCATAATTTCTCATATTTAGGGACTGATAAAATTAGTTTTCATGAGATACAAAAATTGTTAGAGAAAATATAACAAATATCAATTTGAACAAAGCAATAAACATATAAAGCTAATTATCCTTCCTTCCAAAAGACCATAGATAAAGTTGATAAGAACTTATCTTCGAATCCAAGAAGCTCCTTGACCCGAAAAGCAATCCAGGGGCGCATACATATAACACATCTTTCATGCACAATTAACCACAACAATTGGTCACAGCTGATTTCATCAACTCTTAAAGCAATACCCAATTCTCAAAAACATAATAAAATTTATTTGGTAATTGAAATTTCGATTAAATTTGAACAAAAAAAATTAGGGGAAAGAGACGAACCAAATGTTCCAATTCAGGTGCAATTTATGAGATTTCAATAGCTTCACTTACTTATTGAATTAGAGTTTCCGAATTAAAAGATCTGGGTTAGGTGTTAATGGAGTCTTTGATACAACTTAACCTAAAAAACATGCCTGATATTTTTTAGCGTTTGCGATGAATGCTCAAGGATTTTGGCGATTGAAGCAGAGCGATGAGCATGTAGTTTGAGCTTTACACCATGTGTGTGTGGGCAGTGGGAAAACTTAATCTCAAGGTCGGTAGTAGAGATTAGCACCATAGTGGCTCTCTCCATCATTCAAAATTTGGCACCCTTAGTCTGGAAATAAGAGTTAAACAGCAACTACATATGAAATGGTAGTGAAAGTGAAACATGTTGTGTTTAGTAACTGCCATTTTGAAATGGAAGTAAGATGATCCAAAACTGATTAATCTCAAAGGTAAGAAATCATGTATTTAAATCAATAACCAAAAAGAACCTACCTGTAACTTTTTGCAATTTCCCTCATGTATAATCTTCTAGTGATTTCAATTTGTCCTTGAGATATTGCAGAATAGCTTTGGTTCCTCCATCTAAAATTGCCCTCCACATTTTATCAAGTATAAATCCATACAATGAGAAGGTCAATGATGCATAGGATAAGCAAGGGATTTAGAACTCCGGCAATCATACAAATGAAGTATATTCAACAGCTATCATTTTAGTATCATGGGATTGACTCTGCAGTAGAAAGTCTGACAGATTAGCATGCAATTTGACAAAGTGTTATGCCTCACTGACATTTTTTCTTTATTCTATGAATAAAGGAATTGATAGCAAGAAACTATCTAGGGTGCATCACTATAAGAACTCAAAGCGGTCATATTTTGAGCTTGGGATCAGGCCCCAAGTTTTGTAAATCCTAATAGGTGTAATTTTGCCTTGCATTTCCAAGTTTTGAGCTTGGGATCAGACCCCAAGTATAGGTATCACACTCATTCAAACTATTGTGAAAGGCCTTAGGATTTAGAACATAAATGTTTATGACCACCTTGTCATGACCACTATCATCACCTATACATACTTCCACCACTTTGTCATGACCACATTGTTGTCCACGGCCTAGTGACATCATGACCGTCGTCTCAACTACCGTCATCTTATGTTGCGCATCAAGACCATCGTTGCCACCATCACATCTCCTATATATGACGAGTTCGATACCAAATTATCATGATTAGCGCATTGAGTCATGTAGCCCAATTTCACAACCCTTTAGTATAAATGTATCGCTTTATTAAAAAGAAAAGCACCTACTTAATTACTCGTTGTAATGTAAGATTCTGGAAAATCTTTTCGAGGTAATCCAATATACAATTAAATTGGCTGCAACGACTCATAAACTTGAACACATAGTAGGTATAAGTTGAATGATAGCTTAAAGGGCTGCACAACATACAGTTAAAGATAAGCAATTGTCAAAAATACAGAGTCCCATTACCTATGAAACCATCACCTATTCACCTTGATATATATTGGATTGAAATGTCACAAGTAAAAGGTTAGGCCACCCAAGGTACACTCTTCACAGCGTGCTAGTTCTTCACGCCTAACACATCCAACCACCTTGACACATAGACAGTGGCGGAACTTGGATTTTGAGTTAGGAGGGACCTCTTACAAATGTAAAGAAAACGTAGCAACACTGCCAACAACACCATCTCTGCAACAACACTGCAACATGCTCGCAAATCCCTCTAATGCTTGTGAATCCATCTCTTAACTATCCCCCATCCATCATTTGGTCATCGTCTTAGCCATTACTTTGTTGCTCTAGATTTTTGGTCTGATTCTAATGTTTGTTTGCTATGTGATGATGGTGTTGATTTTTCACTTCCACTCTATTTCATCAGTATGTTCTGACTAGATGGGAGTTGTGTTAAATGGCGAAGAAAACAACCTAATAGAAAGGCTAACGAGAACATGAAAATTGCACATGGATGGAAGCATAATTGAAGCCTGTCAGTAACCAGCAACACCATGCGAAAAGGTTTAAACTCTGGTAGAACTAGCTCTCTCGCCTACTTCCTTTCTCTCCCTTTAGTGATGCCCTAATCCTCAGAAAAATCTTTGGTAATTAGAAGGATCACTCTTTTTTTTTTTTTTCTGTGAAAAGAATGTCAGGGTAGGCCTGGGACCATTATGGTCCCTTCATGACTCTGCCCCTGCACACATACGACTCTATCGTGAAGAGTTAGAAGGAGAAGACTTCTACTTTCCTAGTACGTAGTATTAAATATTACAAGTATTTGCTGATTTGGAATTATGGGACCATAATAAAAGCAATAATCCAAACTGATATCCAATGCTTGTAGCATATATATGAGAAGAGCATGAATTGTAAAATACAAAAAAACAATGAGAAATATATATGAGACACATTAAGAAAATTGGTTAGTCCATGGGATTAAACCAAGAAATTGGTTTAGTGGTACATATCCTCCACTGGAGTATAAGTCCAAACCAGGACACTTGGTCCGGTCCAGTTAGCAAAGCGAACTGTAAACCCGACCGAAGCAATCCCTCCAAACCACCGCGGCGGGAAAATGGTAAATTGGATAGCTAATTGGCGGGAACAAATCGAAGCTCCAAAAATTCACATATAAATGCAAGTCCTCACTACCTAGACCATTTTCCCAAATTTCAAAACTACCGACTCGAAGAAAAATGGGGAAGAGAAAGAAAGCTAGGGTTTCTGAGCAGAAGCAGCAACCACCACCACAAGTCGAAGACGAAGAAGAAGAGCACGAACGGAGCGACGAAGATCGCGACCCCCCGACTTCCACCAACGAGAAGAGCCTCTATGAGGTGCGTAAAATCCGTTCAAAATTCAAAATTTTCTTGATGCGATTCGATTAGCGTTTGATTTCGATCGGAAAGGTGGAAAATTTGATTTGTACAGTGCTTTTTGCCCTAATTTGGGAAATTGGGGTTTTTGATGGATTAGGTTTTGTTTTTGTTTCGTAGGTTCTTGGCGTGGAGAGAAGCGCTACTCAGCAGGAAATAAAGAAAGCGTACCATAAATTAGCATTGCGATTGCATCCGGATAAGAATCCCGGTGATGAGGTGAGAAAGTTTGATATAATTTAGGGGTTTTCTGTGAATTGTGGTGTTTCTGTGAGTGTAAATTTCTGGTATTGTTCGTGTAGGAAGCTAAAGAAAAGTTTCAGCAATTGCAAAAGGTGATATCGATTCTCGGGGATGAGGAGAAACGAGCACTCTATGACGAGACGGGTTGCCTTGATGATGATGTGAGTGTCTGATGTTATTTTCTTTGCTTTTTGATTCATTCACTTTAATGCATACTGCTGTTCAGTGTGATAAGTAGGATTCTTTACTAGAAATGACAAGTAGAAAGTTGGGGTGGATGTTTCTCGACTAGAATAATTGTAATCTTCATACTTGCGCAACTGCTTTGGAAGATCAAATTGGAGGGTTTTAGATACTTAGGGAAATCAAATGTTGGCTTTGTTCAAGTGGTGCTTATTTTTGTTTCATTGTCATGAGCAGGACCTTGCTGGTGATGTTGTTCAGAATCTGCATGAATATTTCCGGGTCATATATAAAAAGGTCATGATGTTTTCATCTTTTTATGCTGTCTTGATATAACAGTGTCGTTTGTACTTTCGGCATATTGCTGACAACATGCACATCCATTGCAGGTCACCGAAGCTGATATCGAAGAATTTGAAGCAAACTACAGGGGATCTGATTCCGAGAAGAAAGATTTGATTGATCTGTATAGCCAGTGCAAGGGGAATATGAACAGGTATTAGCTTTATTTATCACTGCGTTTATCCTTTTTGTCATTTGATTTGCTGTTTTTGTTTGATATTACAGTTCATTCCCTTGCAGACTATTCTGTTCGATGATATGTTCTGATCCTAAACTCGATTCACACCGCTTCAAGGATATCCTTGATGAGGCAATAGCTGCAGGTGTGTTATGTTTATTAAGCTCTAGTTTCATAGTGAATTTCTGGGATTTTGGTTCATATTTTATTTTAGGTGTTTGAATATAATGTTTATATTTATGTGATTGAAGGATTACAAGGATTTCAAATGATTCATTGGACATAGTCATTTCAGATTCAGTTATTACATTATATCTGGTCATTTCATGGATTATATCTTTGCGTTATAACGAATATGAACCATTATTTTGAATCCTTATATCCAAATGAAGTCTTTGCCTCTTTGTCTTTAAGAAAAAGAGTAAAAATTCCAGTCCTACCACAAATTTAAGTGTCAATATTACTAGGAATTATCTTTTTCTGAGCTCAGGCCTGGCTTGCAAACCATGGCCACTTGGTTCTTAAAGATATCTAAAATACAACCATAAGTGATAAGATTCACTACGAATGTTAGTCAGATGGCCCTAGTTCGCTTCTTAGAGTTAGAGGAGCCTTATCAGTTGCTTGATTCTTTCTTTTTGACACTGCTTAAGGTTTTTGGGTTCAACAAATGATCCTCTATGCAACATTATTAGAGCCTTTTTCTAATTATCTAGAGTAATTTCATTCAAGTCACATGCCATCTTATATTTTCTAATTACTCGTACTCTTAAATCACTCTTTCACATTGGTTGTTGAACATGTTGAAACCATCATAGTCGGTTCTCTCTCATTTTAAGTCAATGAATGTTATTGACGAATAAACCTTTATATTTAAGTAACAGAAATCATTAATGGATTCTTGTTGTACTGAAATGTCCCGCAATTGAGGGTGTTTTTAGTAACCTCGTATGTTTCTCACACAGACCCTCTCCGTTTCTGTCTCTTAACAGGAGAACTGAAATCAACCAAAGCCTACATGAAATGGGCAAAGAAAGTATCTGAAACAAAACCTCCTACCAGCCCTTTAAGGAGAAAGACCAAGTGAGTACTTCTCAACAAGTTTATTTAATTGCTTATACTTAGTTTTAGCTCAACCGAGAAACGGAAAAGGTTTATGCTTAAATCTAATCTTTTACAGGGCAAAGAAACAGACAGAAGATCTGTATGCAATCATATCTCAGCGCCGCAGTGAGAGGAAAAACCAGTTTGATTCGATGTTTTCTTCTCTAGTTTCCAGATACGGGGGGAACACTTCTTCTTCAGAACCCACGGAAGAAGAATTTGAGGCTACACAGAAAAAACTTGAAAGAAAAAGGTCCTCCACGAAATCAAAGCGCAAGTAATTCAAGCTGCCAGAGCGAGAACTTTACTCTATCAGACCGATGTTGTGCACGTTGAAAACACTAGCGCCTTTTGTTCAACTGTTTAAACGTACCTGCAAAATTGTGTTCGAGCTCTGTTCATGGATTTAAGTGCGTTTGCCTGACCTAATGTGCTCGTGATCAGTTAATCGATCCTTTTCTTTTTGGAAAACTTATTCCCCCGTATCAACTATCAACTATCAACCATTGTTAGTTGATACGGGATGTACAAAGAAGCCTTTGCTGTTTTATCGCGCTATTGAGCTTTGGACTTTTCAGTGTTCACTACTGGTCATTGTTAGGTTATCTTACCTTTATACAACAACAACAACAACAACAAAGCCTTTTCCCACTAAGTGGGGTCGGCTATATGAATCCTAGAACGTCATTGCGCTCGGTTTTGTGTCATGTCCTCCGTTAGATCCAAGTACTCTAAGTTTTTTCTTAGAGTCTCTTTCAAAGTTTTCCTAGGTCTTCCTCTACCCCTTCGGCCCTGAACCTCTGTCCCGTAGTCACATCTTCGAACCGGAGCGTCAGTCGGCCTTCTTTGCACATGTCCAAATCACCGGAGCCGATTTTCTCTCATCTTTCCTACAATTTCGGCTACTCCTACTTTACCTCGGATATCCTCATCCCCAATCTTATCATTTCTTGTGTGCCCACACATCCCACGAAGCATCCTCATCTCCGCTACACCCATTTTGTGTACGTGTTGATGCTTCACCGCCCAACATTTTGTGCCATACAACATCGCTGGCCTTATTGCTGTCCTATAAAATTTTCCCTTGAGCTTCAGTGGCCTACGACGGTCACACAAACACGCCGGATGCACTCTTACACTTCATCCATCCAGCTCGTATTCTATGGTTGAGATCTCCATCTAATTCTCCGTTCTCTTGCAAGATAGATCCTAGGTAGCGAAAACGGTCGCTTTTTGTGATCTTCGCTAGATTGCTCCGGTCATTAGTGTGGATAAGTATATAAAATGGATAGAGATAGGAAAGCAAACACAAGATGTACGTGGTTCACCCAGATTGGCTACGTCCACGGAATAGAAGAGTTCTCATTAATTGTGAAGGGTTTACACAAGTACATAGGTTCAAGCTCTCCTTTAGTGAGTACAAGTGAATGATTTATTACAAATGACATTAGGAAATATTATGGGAGAATGATCTCGTAATCACGAAACTTCTAAGTATCGGAGTGTGGTGTCGTCTTGACTTGCCTTATCTGTCTCATAGGTAGATGTGGCATCTTCTCTGGAAGTACTCTTCCTCCATCCAGGGGTGGTATCTTTAACTGGTGGAGATGCACAAGGTAATGTATCAATTTCACTTGAAGCTTACTTGTAGTTTCAGGCTTGGTCAAGCGCGATACAAACCATGTAGTAGGAGTCCCCCAAGTCGCCGAGCTAGGGGGTCTGCTGAAAGAGGTGACAGACAAGGTAAGCAATCAGAGCTCCGACTGATTGTTCACCTTTCTCCCCATCTTGCAGCAGCATGAAGGATAAAGAGAAGAAAAATGAGAAGAGATGATATGAGATACTTTTGCTTTTGAAGAAGTAACTTTCCACAGGCTTATTCTTGAACTGAGCTGAAGGGTTTTCTGGTTTCCTCCAGAGTATAAGGCCGACTAAAGAATTTGAGGGTCAAAACAAGTCCATCAAATATAGAGTACGTTCCACCCTGCTGATATGGGATACTTTTGCTTTTGACAGAGTAATGGATGTATCGGCACGTGTGCTGTTACGCTTGTCTCCACATGCTTCCTTGTATCCTTCGCACTTGCCCTATCTGTTCCTCAAGCAGATGCGGAATCTTACCTTTATGATCCAACAAAAAAATTATGGTGCTTCAAGTTCAAAATATGAGATATTTTGAGTTTGTTAACCGTTGAATCTTAATTTTTGTATTTTTGAACAAAGATCTACAGTATCTTATGCTTCGGACCATGTAGAAAATCTCATGATGCAAAACTTGTGTTATTCACTTGGGTTTCTGGTGTTGGAAAAGGTGGCCAATTATACCTTTTTCCGAGCACACTTTGCCAGTTTGCCCTTGAAAATCACTTTGAGTTAACTTGCTCCATAGATTAATCTTTTTAGTTTTTGCATCTCATTTTTACCATCCACTGTAAAGTTCGTAAAAAACCTTTCAAATTTACTGACATGGCATAAAAGGGACCTACGATTTTCTTGATGGGTATGCCATTTGGATAAAGGAAAATGATAAACACACATTCTATTTAGTTTTTTGCACATTTTTGTTTAATTTTGACCGTTGGCTTCATTTGATTAATTCAATCTAGTGATTTAAAATAAAGATGTGTGTGAGAAGCTTAATTTTTTTTTTTGGTAGAAACTACTCTTCCCAAACCGTGTTTGTGCAGACTAATAATGTTTAGAAAAAGCCCATGCTCAAGGGAGGAAAACTGAACAAAGCCATACCCATAAGTTTACCAATCAAGTCAATGAATTAATAAATTAATGGAGAATTAACGAATATAATCAAGACAAACAGGTCATAAGGTGAAACAAAGAGTACAAAACTCATTCTCGAATTCTTGTTGTCTTAGGGCCACTTTTCCAATCAAGAATTTGTTCAACTAACCCACAACTTAACAGACTAATTTTAATCACTTTTTGGGCTTAATTTACTCAATTTGAATTTGCCTTTCTAAGTTGGATTTTCGAAGTTGTGCTAGCTTTAGTTTAAGGATATTGAATAACTGGGCCTTCAAAAAGTTGTGCTGGCTCTAGTGAATGAATGTTGACTAGGCTTCTCGATAATTTGTGTAAACCGGTATAAGGACTTGATCAATTCTCTATGTGGGAATTGGTTTCCCGTGTGATCCCGTGTAGGGTCACTCATGAGAAAACATGTTGGAGAATAGGATCTCAAAAAAGTATATATACAATTAATATATGGGGTATTGTAGAGGTCTTTGTGGTAAAATCACGCACCTAACAGTATGTCACTAAGTGAGGACAATATTGGTGGTGGACCGTAATGTGCCTATAAAGTTTATCATGATGTCAGAGTAGGTTGTCCCATGTGTGATGTAATGCCCCGATCTCGATATACGTTCAGGATCAACACGTGACGTTACCAAATACCCGTATCTCAAACATATCCCACCTCTGAGATATGGGCAAAGCACAACTCGAGATCCAAATGTGTAATAATTTTTCGTATACTTTATGGCTGCATATAACCTCCTCGTTAGACTACCTATGTACCCTAAATAAGGATCAAGCCATTCGTAATTTGTCCTTCACTACACTCAAACAATCATCACATAAATCACTATGTCTCAACATAATACCACACAACAAACATGCAACATCACGAGGAAAATTCGACGAAGCGCAACATAATCTCTAGCCATATTCGTCAACAAGTCTGATCATAATGACAACAATACAACCAACATCATTCCACAATCACATCAATCATTAACACATATCATACATCGAAATGCAGGGGTAGAGCGACACAGTTTAGTCGAAGCCTACATCTCTGAAGTTGAAATCAAATCCAAGGAACCAACAAGTCAAATGATGCGATTTCGGACCACTCAATGAAATCCATCAACATCGGGTTCCGGACCACTCAACGGAACCAAAACACCAAAGGGGATTTAATTGGATTGAAAGCAAACCACAAAGTAGCTCACGAATGTCCTATTGATTTTCCTTATTAACACTAAGATTTGTCAATTGTAGCATATGAAAATAAGGATCTTTCCCACATAAGATTGTTTAATCTAACTACTTAAAATGTCACAAAAGCTGGGTTGTTGTCCCTACTGACCAGCCACCAAAAAATAATTATTAGACCGACTTACACTTATCTAAAGTCTACAAAATTTTATATGAACACACTAGACACACAGAGCTACACTCACACAAATTTTTGGGATTTTTGGAGTTGATTTGTTATTTAAATTAAATCAAACAAAAATATGATAGAAACAAATTTTAAATAGTTTTCAAATTAAGAAAAACGATTTAGGGGAATTGCTATCCACCGCCAAATAATCATGCAAACATATTATGGTTCATTCAAATTCCTTTTATTTCCCAATGAAGATGCTCAAGTTGGCTTAATGTTAGAACTCAACCTATTACTCTTTCTTATGTAGTATGTTAAGAGAATAACGTTTTCAACTTAACTTAGTCCCTAGTGATGAGCCCATATTGTATCATATATTTTACCCTATTCTTATTATTAATTTATTGGTTATTTAGGTAGAATTTTGATAATTTGTTATATATTTTCAATGTAGGATATTCGACTTTCTCTTGAGCAAAAAGTGATCAAACGGATGAATTTTGGAGTGATTCTAATTGGAGGATGTTCTTGTGCCTTTCAAGATGATTGTATCAAAATTCCAGATTTTTCTATGAAGCCCTTTGACGGTTTCGATGAAATTAAGGCCCAGCGCACAGCTTTCCCAGATTGATGTTTCTGGACGTTTTGGGTATTTTGGAGGTCAAGATGATATATTTTGAGGAAGATTCCTTCTGAGGATTTGTAGGGGACATCTTAAGATTTCAAAAGAGACCTTTTGGGACCAAATCAAAGTTGATTTGGTGGATCAAAAGATGGATTTTCTGAGGACTCCGAATTCTAGTTCAAATAGGAAACCTTTTATTTTCTGTTTTACCATTTAATTATGTTTCCTAGTTTTATTCTAAGACATTTTCAAGGTAGAGTTTTATTTTCTAGTAGTATAAATAAAGGGGAGGAGAAAAACGCACGCACACTTTAGAGAGCTTTTGGATTCAAGTTTATTTTCAAGGTGTTTTCTATTTTTGTTTTTAATAATATTTCGTTTTATGGTTGTTTGTAACTAATTTTCCGTTTGCTAGAGTGATGCCTTGAGCCTTAGCATGAATATGTAGTCCTTATTTAATTACTTATGATATTATGCATGTTTACTTTGAGTTATTAATCACTGTGCTTTAAACTATCTTTATATCTTAATGCTTAGCTACCATTAGGATGTTTAGATAAGTAATCGGATGCAATTCGGTCAGAATACCACCGGGTAATTAAGTATTTCTTTTTGTGATTGATATTTGTAATTTCACTTAGGAGGAATACCATGTCTTAGGGGTTCATGGTTTTTCAAAGGGTTTTCACAAAGCATAATGAGTCATGCATGTTTATATTTGATCTGAATACCACAGACGGATTGCATGTTTGATATGCGTTATAGCTTGAATACCACGAGTAGAATATGCATTAGGAAAACCTAACCTTCAAAGTTGCATGTGTAATTCATAAGTAATTGATAAATTTACATAGGGTTGTTAAGGGGACAGCGGAACCCTAGGTTTTTACAAATTGGTTTTCAAAACTATTTTCTTTTGTTTTCTTTACTTTGTCAATTTATTTAATTATTTTTAATTAAATTTGCTTTTATATTTTAGGTCATTAAATCACCTTTTTCTAAACTTTGTTTTTAAATAATTAATTAAGATTTGGTATTTACATAAATTATTCAAACAATCCATGCAGAAAACGACCTTGTTTAAGCCATTTATACTATAACTACCTTGTTCTCTTGCAAGTATTTTGAAGTGTTTTTATCACTACTTTTGCAGGTGGTAAATCCCTATCACCTAGCATGCAATCTAGAATAATGTGTTCATAGATTTAACAAGTAGAAATCATTAAGAACGAAAATAGTTTGAGTCATCACAAGACATCGTAAGTACTAGCGTTGTCTTACTTATCCTAGAAATTGGTTCACATGTTAATCGCAATTAACAAGTACTACTCTAAAACATATGTAGGTTCTCATTCGACAAGGGCAGACACACACATATTCATAGCATTATAATCCTAGATATGCTTACTAAGTATGCATCCATAGAAAACAAATAAAGAATTCATCATTGAGACAAGTAGTGAATCTATTTTCATCCTTTCATAAAAGTAATTCAAATGAAATATCATAACAAACTTGCAATATTTGGGGCTTCTAAACAGCCCCTAACTACTAAAAATTTAGTTACACATAATCCTTTAATTAAAACAAAAGATACACATGAGTTTGAGAAGATAGAACTGAAAGAAATCGACTGAGGCCTCCTCCTCTTTCCTTCCTTCCCCAACGCTGCTTTTAAACCAAGTCTTGCTGCATCATTTTCTTCTCCTTAACTCACCCACTAATAGCCATTTAGTGATGACAATAAGTGAGAGGAAATGGTAAAACAATTATAACTCATTGGGTAGCCCTTATGCCAATCACTCCCTCTTAATCCTCATCTTTAATTCCATTTCCTCTGATATTTGAATAGGTGTCAGCTAGCTTGTTCTTGGCTGCATCAATTTTGGCTGCTAGATTTATTGGGTTTATTGCTTTCAGTGCAGTTACAAACTGCTCAACCTCTTGGTAACCTTTTAGTGTTAAAATGGTCATAACTTCTTCTAGACAAATCATATTAACAATCTTCGAAATGCTCCAGAAAATAGACATTTGTAGCTTTCCAAACATTTAAGCTTATTCTCTAATTCATTCTGTGCTATTTGCAACTTGCTTCCAAAGTCAGCTGATCTGCACATGCAGTTTTGACAAATTTGTTTCTTAAAATCCCACTTGTGCAATTTTTTTTTTCTTTGCTTGACAAATCCTACAAAACACAAAAACAAAGTAAATAGCTAAAAAATATAAGGAACTAACTAAGAAAAGACAAGTGAATTTGATGCAAAATATATACAAATACGAGCCTATCAGGATTCCGGACCACTTAACGGAATCACGGAGTAGAAGGGATTCCAAACCTGTCAACCGAATCGCAGAGTACAATGCATATCGAACCACTCAATGAAATCCAAGCTAGATATGATTCCAGACCACTCAATGGAATCCAGATGGAGTAGGGAACCGGACCACTCAACGGAACCCCAACAGAAACCCAATTTCGGATCACTTAACGAA